AAACGTATATATACGTCCACGCGCATAGCGCCCCAAACATATATATACGTTTTCTTTGTCATTCATTCAACATTGCCACAATAAGCCTGAGTCACCTAGACATGAGAGAATGGGTGTGCGCACTCACTGTGTGCCATATTAAAATAATTGGGGATGCCTGGGTACCATATACTCTTTTTTCCTTTTAAAAGAAAAGATTGTTTTTTTCCTCAAAAAAGTTGGGGCGCTACACGAGTGAACGTATATATCAGTTTGGACCGTTTAAGGTTTAAGAATCGTGGTGGCATACATAGTGTGATAAGGCATGGTGAGGCTGCCAGTTTGGACCACAAAGCAGCTGAAAAATATGTGCATGAATTCAAGGAGTACATAGAGACTGAAGGATTGAAACCTGAACAAGTGTTTAATTGTGACGAAACAGCCTGTTTTGGAAAAAATGCCAAGCAGGACCTACATTACTGAGGAGGAAAGGCACTCCCAGGACATAAACCTATGAAAGACAGGCTTACTCTGTTGATGTGTGCCAGTGCTAGTGGTGATTGCAAAGTGAAGCCTTTATTGGTGTATCACTCTGAAACTCCCAGAGTATTCAGGCAAATAATATCCTCAAGGCTAATTTGTGTGTGTGCAGTGGAGGGCAAACAGTCAGGCATGGGTCACTAGGGACTTTTTCTATGACTGGTTACACCATGCATTTGCCCCCACTGTGAAAAATTACCTAATTGAAAATAAATTTGACCTTAAGTGCCTCCTGGAATTAGACAATGCTCCTGGTCATCCTTCAGATGTGGCAGAGCGACTTTCTGCAGACATGAGCTTCATTAAGATCAAGTTTTGCCTCCTAAAAACCACTCCTCTCCTGCAGCCCATGGACCAGCAGGTCATTGCAAACTTCAAAAAACTGTACACAAAGGCTATGTTTGAAAGGTGCTTTGTATTGACCTCAGAAACTCAATTGACTCTTAAGAGAGTTTTGGAGAGATCATCTTAATATCCTCAGTTGTGTAAACCTTATAGGTAAGGCTTGGGAGGGAGTGACTAAGAGGACCTTGAACTCTGCTTGGAAGAAACTGTGGCCAGAATGTGTAGACAAAAGAGATTTTGAAGGATTTGAGGCTAACCCTGAGAAGCGTATGCCAGTTGAGGAATCCATTGCGGCATTGGGGAAGTCCTTGGGGTTAGAGGTTAGTGGGAAGATGTGGAAGAGTTGGTGGAGGAGGACAATGAAGAACTAACCACTGATGAGCTGCTAGATCATCTTCAACAGCAAGAGGCCACACCTGAGGAAACTGCTTCGGAGGAGGGGATAGAGAAATTGAAGAAGTTGCCTACTTTAAAGATTAAGGAAATGTGTGCAATGTGGCTTAAAGTGCAAACCTTTTTTGATGAAAATCCCCCTGACAACAGCTGTTGCAACCGTGCTGGTGACTATTACACGACAGTGTTGTAAAACACTTAGGAAAGTCATAAAGGAACGAGAGGTACAGGCCTCTAGGGACAGATATTGTTGTGCGACAGAAGTCCATTTGACTCTCAAGCTGGTCCTAGGGGCATTAAAAGAAGAAGGGAAGAACCCCAGAAAAGGACTTGCTACCTAAGTCTAAGGGAAAGGGATTCCCCTTCTAAACACAAGACCATCCACACACTCCCCCCTCCCCTCCCATCAATCATCACCAGATCTTCAATAAAGGTAAGTGTCATGTAACGTGCATGTCTTCTTCAGTTGGTGTATTAAAATTAATATTTCATGTGGTAAATTTTTTTTTTTCATACTTTGGGTGTCAGGAAAAGGGATTAATTTGATTTCCATTTTTTCTTATGGGGAAAATTAATTCGCCTAAGATAATTTCGCCTAATGTTGAGCTCTCAGGAAGGGATTAATATCGTTAGGGCGAGGGTCCACTGTATATGCTTTTTAATCACTCTGGGCCGCTTTAAATGTCGTAGTATATTACGTGGGGGTGGGGTGGCACCTACCGCCTAACTTACCTACTGCACCTGACTTCTTACGTAAACAATACTTAAACTCTCACCCTACATTAAAAACTACCAATATTAAGGCTAGTAATGAGGTACTGTGAGTGTATTTTACTTTGTTTTTAAACCCTTTGACTGTTCGGTCGTATAAATACGTTACAAGCCACCATGTTTGACGTATATATATATACTCAAAAAATTCTAGCGGCTTCAAATCAAGCAGGAGAAAGCTGGTAGGCCCACATTTTGAGAGAATGGGGTTTTTGTATCAGTGTGCACCATATAAAAAAGCCTGCAACACGCAGTCATAATGAGAAAAAAAAAACTGACTTTTTTTTTTTAATTAAAATGCCCAATTTGTGATCTATTTCATATGTATTTATGGTCGTGTTCTCATTTTCTTGGTCTCATTTGATAGAATGGAAAACATTTATAGAAATAGAGGTGATTTTGATTGGTTTTATTATAAAAGAACTTGAAAAAGGAGCTCAAAGAAGAGGAAATGTTTGAAATTTTTTCCGATGTTCAAAAGTAAACAAATGATGTCATTTTCCAATAAATGTCAAAGTAGCCATTCTAATATGCAGTCATGAATGGGTTGACATAATTTTTATACAATTATTACAATATTGCAGTAGTCTGCATAACAGTAAATCTTCTATTTTTTATTTGAATAAAAATTCAAAATAGAAAGCAAGAGTAATATCAGAGGGGCCTGGAGACGTGACTGATGAACAAAGAAAATGTTATTTTAGAGCCAGGAACATCTGCATTGTTCATTCTGGACCCTATTTTGAAATTGTCATATTTTTTAATTTTTATGATATTGGCCAAAAATTTCAAAATTTCCTGACCGCATTATTGGATAGTTGAAATCGGTAAATGGGTAGTTTCTTGGCCTCAATCAATAGAAAAAATGGAGTTCTAAAGAAATAGCTATGAGTTTGGTCGACTGGAACAATGGAATTAGCTAAAAATAGGGCTCAAAGTGGGCAAAATTGCCAATTTGTAAATATTGCAGAGATCGCTAATTTTCACAAGAGCGTAATTCTGTCAGTTTTCCATCAAATTTCGCTCGTTTGGTGTCATTACAATCGGGAAAAGATTCTCTATCATTTCATGAGAAATTTTTTTTGAAATTCTGAAACACCAGGAGACACCTCGGGTTTTGGGGGTTTTGCACAGTCGGGGGGTTTAAATGTCTAGGCATTGAAAAAATTAATTAAAATGTTAGTATAAATTTGTTACTGACATTTGCACATCTTTAAAAGGGGGGAAAAAAGGGCGTTCTGCTTTCTGGCGATGTCCGTTTTCGGTGAAGCCTGGAACTTAACCTCCATATAATGGGGCCCTTCTCTGCCTGAAATATTGCTGTTTAGGACAAAAAAAATGCACCACATTCCGTCATCATGTAAAAAATTACAGGCTTCCTTTTACACTAAAGAAAATGGTAGTACCTCTCTGGGGCTTTTCCTATCTATCAACCTACTACCAGGACAAATTGAAATTTTTTTTTTAACATTTAAAAGGGCCGTTTCCCCTAAAAACAGGGTCCCCAAAAAAGAAAAAAAAATTTTTCATCTTTCAACCTTTCACCATCACCATACAAATCACTGTCTTGCAGAGCACTAAATCACAGCTTATTTCCCCTCTAAACCCCGATGCCCAAACCCCTTTCCTTTAAAATGCGGCACTGTATTTTTCCCATTTCTGGCAAATTTGGTTTTTTCCTGAACCCCTTCACAAAAATTACCCTGCTCCACCCAAAAGCTCGTCAGGTCCCAAAAATCATTTTTTCTCCATTCACCCTATCAGATGTGCTTTTTTACACTGAAAGTCCAAGCCCCCCACACGGAAAGCTTCCCTTTTTCCCCCCCCCTCCAACCTTTCCAGGGCGAAAACCCCTACCCCCCGCCTTCCTTCCATACGATTTTAATGCTCTCCAAATCATTCTACTTTGTTCCATTCCCTAAATGACCAAACCCCTAACCCCCCTTCAGCCCCACTAAACTTTTAAATAACTCAACACCTCCCCCAAACTACACTATGAATTCTCTGCATAAAAAGTTTACACCAACATTTCCTTAGACAATCTCCCCGCCTCCCCCTCCTCCTTGCTACAGCATTTACAGCCCATCTTCTACACTTAAACATTGGGCCACTTTTCCTCATACATTCCTTCTTTCTTCCTGGTTAAAGGGTTTTTTTTTTTTAGGGTCCACAATCCGAAAGCACCACTCACCTTTCTTCTTCTCAATTCTAGGTCAAAAATCATCCTTCTAAACCCATCTGCTGACCCCGCAAATCTCAAATATTAACACATTCACTCTTTCCCTACTTCCTCCCTCCATTCAATATTCGATTTTTCTTTACCTAAATTTTTGATACCCCAACACCTTACGTTTTTTCTTGTTCACTTTGAACTTTCTTCTTTTTCACACCCCCCACTAACCTTTGCAACTTTAGAATCTCCCAAAAACACAAGCTGAAAGGTAAAGAGACCTTTAAAACATTTCAAAACGCACCAGTAAATTTTTTTCACAATTTTCTTCAGCCACAAATTTGGGGAGCATATGGACTTTGGGAGTTTAAAAAAAACCGGAGGGGGATGCTGTGGGAATGTGGAGATGTTTTGGAAATGGGGAAAATTTGAAAAATTTGTCTAAAATAATTGCTTTGAATTTCCTTTTGGGGATTTGCATGAAAACTGCAAATCAACATTCGAAGGGTTAATTGGGTTTCAGGTGCCAGTATCTAAATGCGAACATATGAGTTGGAACTAATTTTTCAGACCCCCTGCATTACCCAAAATTTTTCAAGCCCCCAGAATTTTTTGCAATGATTAATATTCCTTAAAGTAACCTCTTAATTTTTTATTCCAAAATAACATTCCATTTATTTTTAAAAATTGTGTTATAAATCTTGGTAAATTCCCATCAAATTTAAAATGTTAAACACTGATTACTTTTAACTATGAGTTTTTTTTTGCAGCTGTAATCGGATCCTTTTTGAGGAAACAAAAGGAAGGACGTTTTTATCAACAACAAACATTTGGATAATGGTCTTAACATCATCCAGTTGGAGCAGGCTGTTGGTGCTGCCGTTAAGTCTTTCATTGGTGCATTAGGTAAGAATATCATGTCAGTTTAATCCTTTCAGGGTCCATGCCGTAGATCTACGGCTTTACGTTGAGGGTCCAAACCGTAGATCTGCGCCATGAGCTCAGCTCACTCTGATAAGTTGTGAGTGGTAAATTTGGGCTTAGATATGAGAGAAGACATCTATGTGGTATGTGTACACCACATAAAACAAATCCTGCAGCACATAATACATGAGAGAAAAACTGAGACCGTAATTTCCGATTAAAACAGCAACTTTGCAGTGTTTTTTCGTATGTTTTTTATAATTGTATTTGCGATTTCTTGGTCTTATTTGATAGAATGGAAGATATATTACAGAAATAGAGATGATTGTGATTGGTTTTAGTACTGAAAATGGCTTGAAACTGAGCTCAAAGTAGTGGAAATGTAAAATTTTTGCCGATGTTCAAGAGTAAACAAATGACCTCACACGTCTAATACACACCAGCTGGTGGGTCTAATATATGTTCACAAATGTGGTGATATTATTTGTACAATTATTACAGTATTGCATGACAGTAAATCTTCTATTTTTTGGTTTGAATAAAAATTCATTATGTGAACTAAAAATCAAAGTGAAATTCATTTGTAAAGCCTGAAAACATAACTGATGAACAGAGGAAATGTTATTTTAGTGCCAGGAATTCCTGCATTATTTATTCTGGACCCTATTTTGAAATTGGAATATTTTGAACTTTGCCCTAAATTGGCCAAATTACCAATTTCCAATCACTTTATTTTGTAGCTGAAACAGTTGAGTTGGCAATGTCTTGTGCTCAGTCGATAGAATAGATGTAATACCAGTGAAATAACTTAAGAATTTGGTTGACTGGAATAAGGTAATTGGCCTAAAATGGGAGTCAATGTCGGCAAAATCGCCGATGTGTAAATATTGCTGACACATCAAAATTCGCAGGCATAATTTAGTCAATTTTCCATCAAATTTCGTACTTTTTGCTTTATTACCCTCAGAAAAAGATTTTCTATCATTTCATAAGAAAAAATAACAAATATATTTTTTGAAAATTCTTGGGCACTGGTGCACACTTCGAAATTTGGCCTCTGGACCCTGAAAGGGTTAACTAAGGATAATGAAAGAAACTACTGCGTGTGGGTATTCTTTAACGTAAGGGTGTCTTGTGGCTTCATTGGCAGCACACTCACCTCATATGCTGAGTGTCCATGGTTTAAGCCCAGCACAGGTAGAAATGTTGAGCATGTTTTTTACACCTGTTGCCCTTGTTCACCTAGCAGTAAGTAGATACCTGGGTGTTGGTTCACTGTTGTGGGTTGCATCTTGGGTGATGATAGTGTACCTTAGATAGGGCTGGGCTTTGAAATGAGCTGAAGTAGGATAACAGTTCATAGCCTGAAAATTGATTTGTGTAAACCAAAAAAACTCCCATGGGAAGGGGCCCCTTCTGTACTAGCTAACAGGAATTTTGGTTCAGCTACTTTTTTTAAATGTTTATTTTTTAAGGCCAAGTAAAGTGTTATATAATATTGTATTTGTATGTATTTTGAAGTTAAAATGACAAAAGTAGTTTTAATACAAAAAATAAATTTTGAAGGTATTGTTTTCCTAATAGACTATTTTTAAAAATCATAAACTAAATACAGTAATGACTGTGACAATACTAATAGACAATGTATTATGTAAATTTGAATTTTCTAATCCATTTTATTAATTACAGCATGTATGTTAAACATAACCCACAATAAATTAATTTTTGGTATCTTTAAAACTATGCCTTGTTTATTTAATGTAAATTATTATTGGCGAGATGGTTCTAGGTACAGTATTACAATACCAGCACCACTGATATATAATACTTGTGACATGGTTCTAGGTACAGCGTTACCAGTAACCACTGATACAATCAAAACCCTCCCAACCTTACAATAGACTGGGTATTTAACCCTTTGACTGTTTCGGTCGTATATATACGCTTTACGAGCCATCGTGTTTGAAGTGTATATACTCATAAATTCTAGCGGCTTCAAATCAAGCAGGAGAAAACTGGTAGGCCCACATGTGAGAGAATGGGTCTGTGTGGTTAATGTGCACCATATAAAAAAAATCCTGCAGCACGCAGTGCATAACGAAAAAAGAAAAATCCGACCGTTTTTTTGGATTAAAACACCGACTTTGTGGTGTATTTTCGTATAGTATTTTTGGTTGTATTCTCATTTTCTTGGTCTCATTTGATAGAATGGTAAACATTTATAGAAATAGAGGTGATTTTAATTGGTTTTACTATGAAAAGAACCTTGAAATGGAGCTCAAAGTAGGGGAAATGTTTGATTTTTGCCGATGTTCAAAAGTAAACAAATGATATCAGTGTCCAATAAATGTCCAACTAGCCATTCTAATATGCAGTCATGAATAGGTTGGCATTATTTATATAATTATTACAATATTATAGGAGTCTGCATAACAGTAAATCTTATATTTTTCATTTGAATAAAAATTCAAAATAGAAAGCAAGAGTAATATCAGAGGGGCCTGGAGATGTGACTGATAAACAAAAATATTATTTTAGAGCCAGGAATGTCTGCATTGTTCATTCTGGACCCTATTTTGAAATTGGTGTATTTTATAATTTGCATGAAATTGGCCAGATTGCAAATTTCTGACCACGTTTTTGGGTAGTTGAAATTCATAGATGGGCAGTTTCTTGTACTCAATCGATAGAACTAATGGAGTTCTAAAGAAATAGCTATGAGTTTGGTGAACTGGAACAATGGAATTAGCCGAAAATAGGGCTCAAAGTGGGCGAAATCGCCGATTTGTAAATATTGCCGAGGTTGCTAACTTCGCAAGAGTGTAATTCCGTCAGTTTTCCATCAAATTTTGTTCTTTTGGTGTCATTACCATTGGGAAAAGATTCTCTATCACTTCATAAGAATTTTTTTTTCTCTCTCTCTCGACACCAGGAGACACCTCAGGATTTGGGGTTTTGATAGTCAAGGGGTTAAGTTCCCTCATCACAATTGTCTTACACCATATGCTTTCCACTATCTATTACAGTGAGAGGGTGGAAAACATACAGGAGGCAGTCCTGTTGCCACCTGTGGCTACATTTTCTTCACCAAATCCCCTCCCACACCATTTATTCAATCCATAATGGGATGGGGGGTGGAGAGCATATTTAAAGTGTCATGTCAGATATGATAGATGATGGGAGGAGAGAGGGAGGAAAGAAATGTTATAGAATAAGAGAAGAGGATGTATCTTATTTTAATTAATATTAATGAATGAATGAAATTAGATACAGAATATTATTATTTGTGAATATATCTCCAGTTATAATGTGGTAAAATAAGTTTGATACTTATCGTAGCAAATGATTTCCAGGACTGCTTCACAGTTGTTAGTTGTAGATGTACTGTCATTGTTTTTGCAGGTATTAATGTTCCCCGGTCAAGATTCTTGCCTGTAAAGAAGACTGACGATCTGCTGCTTGTGATGAGCAACCTTTACAGACTACAACAAGGAACATTAGTAATGTCTCCTTTGCGCATGTTTGAAACCACTCCTCTTGTTAAGTTGGGGCCCAATCATTTTGGCAGAGTCAAGGTTAGTGTGTGTTTGTGTGTGTGTACTCACCTATTTGTGGTTGCAGGGGTCGAGTCACAGCTCCTGGCCCCGTGTGTGTGTGTGTGTGTGCATGCATCCGAGTGTGTGTGTGCATGCGAGTGTGCGTGCATGTAAGTGTGCGTGCGTGCGAGTGTGTGCGCATGTGTGCGAGTGTGCATGCGTGCGAGTCTGTGTGTGTGCACGTGTGAGAGTGTGCGCACGTGAGAGATTGAGAGAGAGATTATGCATTACTTTATTAGTAGAGGCTGCCCAATTTTTTTTTGGCATTGCCCATACTGGAAACCATCCGACCAATATAAAAAACAGTAAATATTTTTTTAATTAATTTGATTGACTTTGGATTTCTGCCAAACATTTTTTCTTACAATCTCTGTTTAATGCTGCTTCTAACAAAAAAAAATTAAATAAAATCAAATGATAAATATGGAAATCAAAATATTCAGGGGCACATACTCATAAAGCTTTAATTTCTTTTGACACACCGGCCGTATCCCACTGAGACGGGGTGGCCCAAAAGAAAAAACGAAAGTTTCTCCTTTTACATTTAGTAATTTATACAGGAGAAGGGGTTACAAGCCCCTTGCTCCTGGCATTTTAGTCGCTCCTTACAACACGCATGGCTTATGGAGGAAGAATTCTGTTCCACTTCCCCATGGAGGTAAGAGGAAATAAACAAGAACAAGAACTATAAAGAAAATAGAAGAAAACCCAGAGGGGTGTGTATATATATATGCTTGTACATGTATGTGTAGTGTGAGTAAGTGTAAGTAGAAGTAGCAAGACGTACCTGAAATCTTGCATGTGTATAAGACAGAAAAAAAAGACACCAACAATCCTACCATTGTGTAAAGCAATTACAGGCTTCCGCTTTACACTCACTTGGCAGGACGGTAGTACCTCCTTGGGTGGTTGCTGTCTACCAATCTACTACCTATAACTCATAAAGCTCTTGCATTAAAAAGTTCCTCATCTTTCTTACAACGTTTTTTGGACTATCCCCTACCCCTTCCATTCAACCCAGATATATACATTCTCTAGGTCAGCCAATGCTGCTTCATCTCAGTTTTTTTCCTTTCAGAATTACATCTAATTTCTTCACTTCTTCATTGAATATTTATTCCATGCATTGATTTCAAACATGATGTCTCTACTTTGTCTGCTCCTTCCTTTCAGCCTCCTCCTTATGGCACTTCAAGGACATTGCTTCCATACACATACAAAAATGTTAACACCACTATATGGTACCTTCTCTTTTCTGCACCCTTTGATAACCTTACTTTTCTCAAACTTCATCTCCCCATCTACCTTATTTCATTCACCTGTATTATGAATTACCTAGTCATTCATGGACCCATCTGCCAACACATCCACTCTGTGTATTCATGCGCTAGAGTGCGTATCTTTTCAACTCACTTAGATCTCATTTCCATCAGTGCAGTTCTCTCTATGGCTGGAATAAATAATTAACTTTTTCACATTTTTTTATTGTTGTCATGACTAAACAGTTGACACTGGCCATGCACATCCTCCATTAGTCGGTTAAATTGAGAGCTGTTTTTGCACTTTCGCCTATTTCCAGTATACTAACTCTCAGTTTAGCAGACTAATAAGGAGGAGTGGGTGGCCAATAACAATGGTTAAGGTGAATATAAATAAGATTCTTCATAGGAAAGTGGAGAAGAATTCTTCTTCTGTAAGCCACACATGTTGTAAGAGGTGACTAAAATGCCAGGAGCAAGGGGTTAGTAACTCCTGTATAAATTGCTACATGGAAAAAAGAAACTTGTTTTTATTTCAGGTCACCCTGCTTTAGTTGTAGATGGCTAGTGTGTTAAAAAGTGAATGAGATAATTTTACTTTGATCATAACAAAAATGGACAATTCTGTAAACAGTGGACTTCGTTCATAGTTCCCAAATCATTTGACCCAGTAAATTTTTGCCCCCTTATTTCCAAATTCTTCAAATCGAGGTTATTGATGTATTGTTAAATATCTTTGTCTATTTTGGTCTGCGTGCTCTTCTTGTTTAAATAATACTTTGTGGAAGTGCAAATAATATTACACAAACATTTTCATATAAAGTACAAGTCCTTGGGAAACCCCTGATGGCATCAAAGTTGAGCCTGGCTATAATTTATACTTTTAGAGGATTATTTCAATTCCCTACTTTCTAGTTTTCATTTGTCATCTTGAGTGAATAACTTAAGTTATTCACACACTTGGTGATAATACCTTGTCTGGACTTTCTCACTTTCCATTGTTTACATTAATATAAATAGCAGTTTTATTTATAGTAAATATGAGAGGCACTGTCAAGAAATTTTAATGAAAATAAGAAAAAATTTTGGAGTGAGTTAAACAAGTTAAGAAAGCCTAGGAAAAGTATGGATTTGTCAGTTAAAAACAGAGTAGGGGAGTTAGTAGATGGGGAGATGGAGGTATTAGGTAGATGGCGAGAATATTTTGAGGAACTTTTAAATGTTAAGGAAGAAAGAGAGGCAGTAATTTCATGCACTGGTCAGGGAGGTATACCATCTTTTAGGAGTGAAGAAGAGCAGAATGTAAGTGTGGGGGAGGTACGTGAGGCATTACATAGAATGAAAGGGGGTAAAGCAGCTGGAACTGATGGGATCATGACAGAAATGTTAAAAGCAGGGGAGGATATAGTGTTGGAGTGGTTGGTACTTTTGTTTAATAAATGTATGAAAGAGGGGAAGGTACCTAGGGATTGGCAGAGAGCATGTATAGTCCCTTTATATAAAGGAAAGGGGACAAGAGATTGTAAAAATTATAGAGGAATAAGTTTAATGAGTATACCAGGAAAAGTGTACGGTAGGGTTATAATTGAAAGAATTAGAGGTAAGACAGAATGTAGGATTGCGGATGAGCAGGGAGGTTTCAGAGTGTGTAGGGGATGTGTAGATCAAGTGTTTACATTGAAGCATATATGCGAACAGTATTTAGATAAAGGTAGGGAAGTTTTTATTGCATTTATGGATTTAGAAAAGGCATATGATAGAGTGGATAGAGGAGCAATGTGGCAGATGTTGCAAGTATATGGAATAGGTGGTAAGTTATTAAATGCTGTAAAGAGTTTTTATGAGGATAGTGAGGCTCAGGTTAGGGTGTGTAGAAGAGAGGGAGACTACTTTCCGGTAAAAGTAGGTCTTAGATAGACAGGGATGTATAATGTCACCAAGGTTGTTTAATATATTTATAGATGGGGTTGTAAAGGAAGTAAATGCTAGGGTGTTCGGGAGAGGGGTGGGATTAAATTTTGGGGAATCAAATTTAAAATGGGAATTGACACAGTTACTTTTTGCTGATGATACTGTGCTTATGGGAGATTCTAAAGAAAAATTGCAAAGGTTAGTGGATGAGTTTGGGAATGTGTGTAAAGGTAGAAAGTTGAAAGTGAACATAGAAAAGAGTAAGGTGATGAGGGTATCAAATGATTTAGATAAAGAAAAATTGGATATCAAATTGAGGAGGAGGAGTATGGAAGAATACTTGGGATACTTGGGAGTTGACGTGTCGGCAGATGGATTTATGAAGGATGAGGTTAATCATAGAATTGATGAGGGAAAAAAGGTGAGTGGTGCGTTGAGGTATATGTGGAGTCAAAAAACGTTATCTATGGCGGCAAAGAAGGGAATGTATGAAAGTATAGTAGTACCAACACTCTTATATGGGTGTGAAGCTTGGGTGGTAAATGCAGCAGCGAGGAGACGGTTGGAGGCAGTGGAGATGTCCTGTTTAAGGGCAATGTGTGGTATAAATATTATGCAGAAAATTCGGAGTGTGGAAATTAGGAAAAGGTGTGGAGTTAATAAAAGTATTAGTCAGAGGGCAGAAGAGGGGTTGTTGAGGTGGTTTGGTCATTTAGAGAGAATGGATCAAAGTAGAATGACTTGGAAAGCATGTATATCTATAGGGGAAGGAAGGCGGGGTAGGGGTCGTCCTCGAAAGGGTTGGAGAGAGGGGGTAAAGGAGGTTTTGTGGGCAAGGGGCTTCGACTTCCAGCAAGTGTGCGTGAGCGTGTTAGATAGGAGTGAATGGAGACGAATGGTACTTGGGACCTGACGATCTGTTGGAGTGTGAGCAGGGTAATATTTAGTGAAGGGATTCAGGGAAACTGGTTATTTTCATATAGTCGGACTTGAGTCCTGGAAATGGGAAGTACAATGCCTGCACTTTAAAGGAGGGGTTTGGGATATTGGCAGTTCGGAGGGATATGTTGTGTATCTTTATATGTGTATGCTTCTAAACTGTTGTATTCTGAGCACCTCTGCAAAAACAGTGATAATGTGTGAGTGTGGTGAAAGTGTTGAATGATGATGAAAGTATTTTCTTTTTGGAGATTCTCTTTCTTTTTTGGGTCACCCTGCCTCGGTGGGAGACGGCCAACTTGTTGAAAAAAAAAAAATGATACACTTAAGGTCTGATATTTGGAGAAGCATAATTTGATGAGGAAAGCACAATGGCAGTGCCAAGGAAAGGCCTTGAGCCCTCCCCAAATAAAAATAGTAATAAGTGTATAACATTGCTTCAAAATGGGTCTTCAGACCTCCCCTAATCCCTGTTCTCCCTCTGGTATAGAAATTCTGGAACTGCTCCTGGAAAAGCACCAATTTAAAAACCATAGTATGGCTCTGTGATATATTCTGTAAGCACTATCATTTATCTGTTGCGGATTTAAGTTCATTTTATTTAATCCTATCTTTTTTTTTAAGCACTGTTCTCATAATAAGCATGGGAGGATACCAAAAGTTTTGCCAATACCAGTACCCAGTTTTAGGCCAGCGCTGTCAAAATTAGTCAGTACCCACCGATACTGACACCATCAGAATTAGTCAATACCCACTGATACTTTGGTACACTCCTACATTAAGATTTCTTGTTTAACTCTAAATTTCTTGTACAACATTGTAATGTTGTACATATATACCTTCAATTCAAAACTTTTATTGTATTTCCCATATTGCTCCAGATTCATAATCTCTTCTACTTTTTCAGAGTTTCTTTATTCTTCTCTGCACTCTATTCAGTTATGTGATAAATTAAGGTGGTGTGAATGAGTTGATTAGATAAGATAGAAACCCAAGCTTTGGTTGTTTGCTTCTTATTTCCTTCATCATTTATGGAAATGAGATTTCTGAAACTTTTCTCAGGAGTTCCTCCGACGATTTGCTTCTATCCCGGACATGCTGGAGTTAGATCATCTGACTGTTTCAGGTGATGTTACATTTGGAAAGGGCGTTAGTCTAAGGGTAAGTTTAGTCATATAATCTTCAGTTATTAAAATAACCCTATTCTGGATTCAGTTATCAAAGCATAAATATCATTGTGATTTTGTTGGAAGTGCACGGACATCACAGTTCAAATGCTAGAGCTATTACAGATGCATGCACTATTGTTAGCAGTATATAATATTCATTGTTCTGTATAATTCTACTACTTTTCTTATCTTTTAGGGGACGGTTATCATTATTGCTAACCATGGTGACCGAATTGATATTCCACCTGGTGCCATCTTGGAAAACAAGATTGTGTCTGGAAATCTTCGCATATTGGATCACTAGGTTGTGTAATTAGAATGTACAGTATATACCGTGTTAACTCGGATCTTCAAGTTTAATTATTTTTTTAAGGAAAGTACTTATTTTTAAAATTATCTTTATTTTTCAATACTTTAAAATATATTTTGTAACAATTAAGACACAAGATTTAATTAACATCAGAGTAATTCCTAGCACATTTAAATGAAAATGAAGTAACAGTTATCTTGAGTAACTGTTACCCATTACATGATAAGTAGAGCTAAGAGCACAAACATTTAGAGTATTTGTGTGCTGTTTTAAGTACTTAATTTTTTTTTGTAAGAAATTAGTGTGTGTTCTGGCCTCACTTTTTTCTTGGTGCTGATGCACAGGATTGTACATGTTAGATTTATATATTTTGTCATTCATAGTAAACACATTAAGTTTTACTGAGGGTCCACAGAGATGCTATATGCACTATAATATTCACAGTTATATGGTTATTGAAGTCAAGGGTGCAGTTGGCTACTTATGCTTAGGCCATATTATCTCTAGTCACCTGTAGTGGACAGGTTTGTAAAACATGTGTATCATTAAACAGTACTGTGTTTGTGATTTACTGAAGCGCAATATTTTATTTTTACTATTAAAGCTATTATTGGCTATATTAGAAAAGAACTTTCAGATTAACCCCCAAAGGATGGTAACACAAGATAATCCAAACAGTGTAGTTTATTTCCATTGAGATCCTGTTGGAATCCTTTTTAGTTTCTTTCCCAAGATGCAGTCAAGATCACTGTCTGTATTCTGGGTATGTATTTACTACTAGGTAAGAGAGTAGGTATTAGTAAGAAGTGTTTTATATGAAATTCAGCTTGAATCATTTTACTATATTGAAGTTTATGGCATAGTTTACATTCATAAATAGTATAATGAAATAGACAAATGAGCAGCATTGATATATAAATTAGCACTGTAATTAGAGATATTTGCATAACATTAGATCAGACTGTGCATGTTCTTCATTTTAATTTCAGTTCTAAGCTAGTCACCCTCATTCGTTTATTGGTCTACCTTCATTTCATTTAGTTTCAAGAGGATAACTAATTATATTTTTTTAGCAGCTACTATGTGCCAAAAATGTTAGTTTACCAGTACTGTCAACGATAGGCCATTTATTAAGAACTGAAAATTTCTCAAAGATCAAAGCTCTTGTTTCATATCTGTACATAAGAACTTTTAAAAAATAAAATGAATTGTTTACTAATGTGTTTCATTGCCCTTAACAAAATATGGTCTTAAAGTGTGAATGTGTAAACTGCTTGGTACATTATTGTGAATACAGTGGGGCCCCCACTTACATGGCAGGTTAAGTTCCAGGCTACCACTGCAAAGCAGACATCAGCAGAAAGCAGAATGCCATTTTTTTCCACTTATAAATGCCAGATAAGTTTGCACCAACATATATTAAGTTAGCAATAGAACTAGGCATTAAAAAACAGTCGTCATTACTTACCTCAGAATATTTGTAGTCGTAATGTAGCATGACGGGTGATTAGTATTTATTGTAAGAAGTTAGATGTGGTAGGTATGATAGCCCTCTGGCCAATCTACCCACATGTAATATACTACGACATTTAAAAAATCCTAGAGCGATAAAATGCATATACAGTACACTCATTACTTCTTTTTTCAATAAACCGGCTGTATCCTACTGAGGCAGGGTGGCCCAGTAAGAAAAATGAAAGTTTCTCTTTTTAAATTTAGTAATTTATACAGGAGAAGGGGTTACTAGCCCCATTTTTAATCGCCTCTTACAACATGCATGGTTACGGAGGAAGAATTCTGTTTCACTTCCCCATGGAGATAAGAGGAAACAAACAAGACAAGAACTGAAAGAAAATATGCTTGTACATGTATGTGTAGTGTGACCTAAGTGTAAGTACAGGTAGCAAAGACATGCCTGAAATCTTGCATGTTTATCAAACAGAAAAAAGGACACCAGCAATCCTACCATCATGCAAAACAGTTACAGGCTTTTGTTTTTCACTCGCCTGGCAGGACAGTAGTACCTCCCTGGGTGGTTGCTGTGTACCAACCTACTACCTAGTATGCTCATTACTTACCTTAAAATATTTGTAGTCTTTATGTAGGGTGAGAGGTTAGTAAAGGAGAAAAAACGAAAAAAACCAGAGAGAATGAGTAATGAGAGAGGACAGAGCTGCAGACTATGTAAACAAACATATGAACACATCCGGGTATGGCTCTTACAATTTCGTTTCCATGTCTGTGAAGCTTATAGTACAAACACCTTACATTGTGTACAAGTTGTCTCTACGTTGGTAAGGTAGAAAAAAAAAAAGAGCAACACTTCATTCTCGTGTTACACTCCATTTTTAGAAGGAATGATGCTCTGAGTGAAGGCCCCCTCAAGGAAGGTTCCTTATTGGTGAGGGGCTCTTGATTTAGGGAATTGGATCTGTGCTCCAGTTCCCCGAATTAAGCCTGAATGCCTTCCACATCCCCCCCCAGGCGCTGTATAATCCTCCGGGTTTAGCGCTTCCCCTTGATTATAATAATAATAATAATCTGAGTGAAGGCATACAAAAGGAATAATTTTCTACAGTTACACCCAGTAATACTATTGTGTACACATTTTCTTTGGTGTTGAACTAGAGAACGTGTTATTCTTTCTGACAAAACAACTGGAAAACATCTCGTATTTGTGTTAATTTATTCTACTGTGGGGTGTATTTATCATGTTTATGTTATGTAGCGTGTTTATTATATAATTTTGAAAAAAAAAATGTCATAGATGGATTAATTCGAGCGTTTTATTAACGTAATATATGACTTTAATGCGCCTCAGAGTGATTATTATTGTGTGTTGTTATTATCATTTAATATGGCATCTTCAAGACTAATGAGACATTTAGTGATTTTAACTTGTACCTGCACACCAGCACAGAAAGTTTATTTAGGTAGAGGTAACTTAATTATAATTATCAGAGTAAAGTGGTACCTTGACTTACGAGTTGAATTCGTTCTGTGACTGAGCTTGAAATTCGTTTTGCTTGTTTATCAAATCAATTTTCCTCATGTTTTAAATTTTGATATGCCGTTAAACTGTTCCGGGGCCCCAAAAAAAACACCCCATTTTTTTGTTCAGGTTTTTAAAAATAAGAACCACCTTCACTACCTACCTACCCCCAAATTCTAACCCACCCCCCCCCCCCTAAACTACTTAAAACCCCCACCCCCTTTCATACCCCCACCCACTCCCCACCTACCCCAAACCCAACCCCCCTCACTTCTCCCCCCACCCCCTCTTTTTCACCCACCCCCATCTCTCTTCCCCACCCCCTTTCCATGTTCACCCCAACACCATCTGTACTACCCCCACCACCCTCATACCCCATCCCCCAAACCGTCACTACTTCACCCATTTCCCTTTCCCACTACTCCCCCCCACATAAAATCTTCTACTTTGCCCCCACTTTCATTTACCCACCCACCACTTCATACTCCCCCCCAAAGAAGGAACCCTGTGAGGCAGGTAAATATACGGGGGCCCTTTCCTTAATTTTTTCGGGGAAAAAACTCTGAGTTTTTGAAATGGATGTTACTTTTTTCCCCAAAATTTATATGGGAACCAAAAAAAGGGATAGGTGCCTCACACAATCGGGGATTATGTGGGGAAATGTACTTCCAGTTTTTCCCTTGGGAAAAGGAGCTTTGTGGGATGGGACGAAGTACCTGACACCCCCTCGGGGTTAAGAGTTGGATTTACTTCAGATACGCCCCCCAATTAGTGGCCTAGGGGCCAAACACATGGTAAACCCCAGTCATAGAAAAACCCCCTTGGGGCCCCAGGGCCTTACGGTCTCACTCCACTAAACAACAAAATTAGCCTTGATGACATTTTTTTTTTTCCTGAACCCCACTGGGAGTTTCAGGTGATACACCAAAAAAAGGCTTCCATTGAAAACACCACAAGCTTTAAACCATAGGTTTTTATGCCCTGGGAGTCCCTTTTTTCCCCCCTGAGTAATGTAGTCCTTTTTGGGGTTTTTTTCCAAAAAGAGGCCTGTTTCGTCAAAATTTTAAACACTTGTTCGGGTTTTCAATTTTTCCCAGCCTCTATGTTTTTCCTTGAATTCCTCCCACATATTTTTCACCCGCTTTTTGGTCTGAACGGGCAGTTTTCACCAAAATCCCTTATAACACTATGAATGCACTAAAATTCTTAATCTCTAAAACCCAACCCCTTTAAAAGGAGGGCTCCTTGGCGTTGGGGGAAGAGGTTTCTTGGCCCTGGGGAAAATTTAGCCCTGTGGGTTTTCTTCTTCCTCAGACCAAAACCAAAATTACCCCCCATTTCCCCTTTTCCCCTATTCCCATCCTTCCCTTGTTTCCATTCCTCCTCCCTCCTACCCACCCCCCCCCTTTTTTTCCCCTTTCCCCTTTTTTTGGGCCCTTTTGGGGATTTCCCCCACAGGCACGCATTTCCCCTAGGTGGGGGAAAGGAAAAACCGGGGGCCCATCCCTTTCCCGTTGGGGTTCTGGAAGTGGGGGTATTTTGCTGGGGAAATTCTGGTTCCCTGGGGATGCCCCCGATCCCTCCCCCCGGGGTATCCCGGAGTAGTTTTTGGGTGTTTTTCCCGGCGCCGGGTGTTCTCTGGAAGCCACCTTTTTTTCGGATTTCCCGGGGGTGGTGGCCGAAGGAGGGATGCTTTTTGGCAGATATCCGGGGGTGCCCCTCTTTTGTCCACCGAGGGAGTTTGGCAGATAGGGGGTTGTAATCCCGGATTGCCCCGGTTTTCTGGCATGAAGGGTAGGGTATGGCAAAGGGGTTTCCCTGCTGATCTGCGCCCCCACTTGCGGGGCTGGGACACTCTTTTGGGGGCCTCCTGATGCCCCTGTAAACCCCTTGCTGGTGCCCGTTTCCCCCCACCTGCTTTTAGGTACCGGGGCTTCGATGATCCTTCCAAAATTTTTCTGAACTTTCCCCTTTCCTTTGACTATGTTTTGGGGTTCCCCCTCTACGTACGGAATTTTCGAATTGCCCCCCCCATTTTCACGCCGGGAAAAACCCCCCTCCCTTTTTTTTTCCTAAACGCCCAAAATCAGTCCCCCTGATGATGCCCCCTTCTTACCTTCCCCCTTCCCACTTTGGAAAAGACTGACCCTGTCAAGCACCCCTCCCCGCTCAGTTTTTTGGACCACACAGTGGACTAAATTCTTTAAATTTAAGAACCCACTTCTTCTGCCTCCTTTTTTGGGCCATAGGGAAATTTGGGAAAACGCTCCTGCGTCATTTTTGGGAGAGTATTTCCTTTTCAAGCTCTCAAGAGCGGTAACCCCCATGTCATGTCCAGAATGCTACCCCAAACTCTTTTATCTTTTTCCCCCTTTCGAATATCGATACTACTCCTACACTAATTTAAAAAAAAAACTTTCCTCAATTCCCTTTATGGTACGTTTAAATTTTGGGCCCCCTTTCCATAATCCAACGAATTTCCATTTGTGCAATTTACATTCTTGAACAGCCCGGAAATCCAGGACTCCCAATCCCCAAAGTGAAAACTTAAAGTTCCCTTCCCCGCCCGGGGGGGGAGACGTTTACCCCCTTTCAAAGTGGGTTGTTTAACTTTTGACCCGCCGAGAAATCCCGTCCTCTGTATATTTTGCGGGAAAATTGGGGTTTCAAGTTTTGAAAGGTGATACCTACACCGCAACAATGAAAAAAATTGCTGGGATTTTGGCCACCCAGCGAAAAATTGCAGATCTAAGGCCGAATGCCCCGTCTGTGGGGGCCGACGACCTTTTTAAACATCCTTTTCAGTCAACCTCCATCTTGCCTTAAATTTTAATGAAGGGTCACCCTTCGTACTCCCCCCGTTGCCAGGTTTTACTTAAAGAAAAGTGAAATTTTGTTGCCTAAAAAGGCAGGAAAGGGCTCCCTTTTGCATGGCATTTTCCTCTTCCCCCCGCCCCCAAGGGAGACTCCCCGTGTGTCCCTTTTTTCCCCTGTTTCCCAAAAATCCCCCTACCCCTTTTTGGGTTCCTTTTTCTGCAAACCTCCCTCTGTTGTTACCCCTCCCATAGCCACCCGGCATCAAACCCTTTTTGCTGCCCGGGGCTCTGACGTCCCGCTCACCTCGTTGTTCTCACATTTTTCGCCCTTCCTCACAAGCCCCGTACGAAAGACCTCGTACGACACCTAATCCAATCCCC